AATATAGCCTACATACATAAAACATAGATTTTTATCTAAACACACTTTTTGAAGACCACCTTTCTCTGTACTAGCTGGCAGGACATGTATCAGCCCTGATTGGATTTCACAAGATGTCCACCTTTTCTAGCATATAAATACCTTTAAAACTGGCCCCAAGGACCTTCTATGGAGGGGAAAAAAAAAAACAACAAAACCAAGACTAAAATACTTCAAAAGTGTGTCCTTCAAAATGTTTCAAAATATGCTTGTAAAGACTTCATTGAGCATTTAAACTATGCAAACCCATAGTATTCTGATTTATGAAGTGATAATGGATTAAAAGGGAATAGGGTATTTAATAGCAGCAAAAATAACTGATCTTCTCATTTCCAGGAACTCAAGATTTTCTGCTTATGCAAGCATCCTTCCTATTGAAATAATTCTGCTAAGTACAGAAAATATATGTAAATTACCTCACTTTGAAAAAATAATAAATGAGACACAAAACAAAGAGCACTCTCAATTTCAATAATAGCACCCCTCTAAAAACTTTCCACTAGAAAAAAGCAGAATGGAACAAATGTAAGCTTCAGAATACAGTACTGCGTAGAATCACAAATAAATTCACAAACATTAATGGTCCAGGTTGCATCTGGTGGGACAAATGCAAACTGACAAAAAAACAGAGACAAGAAATCCCCAAACCCTAAAAATCAATAACAGGGACTGATTTTTGTCAGACAAAAGATGAGAAAGCAAAAAGGAATTATTGGTGATTTATGTTCCATTAGTTGCAAATCTAGGTGAAATAACCCTTTGTGTTTGCTTCTAAAAATGTCATCCTGGATGCCATTTTCAAGGAATTCAGTCTGACGTTAAAAGACATGTCATAACTTTGAGGATCCAGGCTCCAGTGTCCCAGAAATCTGTTTATATAGCTCATAATGTAATTACAACTACCTTAAGACAGATGAGACAGAAGGCAGTGATATATTGAAAACTAATTGAAAAATGCAGTTGTCCAGAAGCACTTGTGGGGAAGAGGTCTCTGAAAAGCTGCTCAAAGCTTCAGAGTTTGAAGTGAAATTTTTGATGTTGTCACTCTCAATCTATTGAAGAGCTGACAGACAATCAAACCCGTCTGGCTGGCTGGCAGCTCATTTTGCTGGCAGGTGGCAAACAATTAGACACACCAATTTGTGCCTCCTGATGACATTAAAGCATGAAACTAAGTTGTATGCAGGGCCTAGTGATTTGTGTGAAAGCATTTCAAAAATAATACTCTTTGCCGTGGCAACTCATTTCAGACTGCCACCTCCCATTACGGCTTTGAGCGGTGAAGACGACAGACTTGAGTTACGTGCGGTGCAAGGCCGCTTCTGTTCAATCCGTCATCAGCGCCCCCCGAGACCTCAATCCCCTCCTTTCATCAATATCACCTCATCATTTACATTCGATAGTACTCGAACTGCTGCATACATTAACTACACACAAGTCCTACTTGATAAAACATGTTGGACACATTTTCTGCTTTTATATTTCATTTATAACCACACAAATTCTATGGAAGAATACACTGTAGCCTATTACACAACGACTCTTACGAACATATTAGCAACGTACAATTAAAAGAACATGCAGAGCAAAACACATCAGATTAAATAAGATAGAATTCTTAACTTCAATTCTATTTACAGGAGTTTCCTTTGTATGGCGTTTACCTGCATGTAAGATCAGTGATTATAGTTCAAGGAATATCTTTAAAACAACAAAGATACTGTTATTTTTCTACTAATTACTTATTACCTCAACTCTTCTTTTATAAGGCACTCAGCCGTCCAAATGCAAAAATAAAATTAAAAAAATCTAGCCTCACAAGGACTAAGAATATCTTTTGATTAAAGTGAAAAATACATTTCTCTAACCTCAATTTGCTTATAAATATGGAATCACTGTGTATATTTTATAAAAACTGAAACAAATAAAACCTGACAAAACAATACACTTCATTGCTCATGATTCTCCCTAGAGAGAATAAACATGACCAATAGCCACATTGCTCAGTGAAGTACCAAAAGCATAAACTACAGCAACAGAAGATCCTACAGAAATATGGTCCACAGGCATAGTGTTAGCTTTTAAAAAATATGCAGTGTATATTATTTAATTGTTATTTTATATCAGTAAACACAATTATATTTACATGAGCAAGTATGGAAAAACAATCACTCTGTAATTTTTGTCAGTTTTTCAATGATAATTGGGACACTATAGGCAACACGAAATGTTCATAAACCACCACAAGCTAAAATTCATGTTGCTTTCTCAATATTTTAATTAATTCTAATATTATTTCAATATACTATTCAAGGTTTTTCCCCCCTAGCCTTTGTTTCACCCCCATGAAAAGTTACAGGGTTAGGATCTCATTCTGTTCCTGCTTTGTAATTTGAAAAAGAAAACCGACACCACCACCCATCTTTTCCCTCCAAAGATTGCCACAGTGGTCAAGTAAGTACTTTGAAAATAGGAGCAAACCGCACAGAGAACTATTTGCCTGAACAGCGGTCATAATTCCGTAATGCAGCCATGAGGTGCAACCAGCCAGTTGAGGTCTTGTGGGCTAAGGACATGAGTATTTTCATCAAGATACCCACAGTTCAATAACATCCGTTTAGTTGGAGGAAAGAATGTAACACTTCCTGATCTGCTGAGACCTGCCTGAACCTGCCAATTTTCCCTTCATAGCTGTTGGTTATATTAAAAAGCATGATCTACCTCACTCACCAAAATCAGACAGCAGGATCTTCTATGTAAGAACAACAAAATATCCTAACAAAATTGATGTAAATGGGTCTTCTTTTGCCTAAACGTCAACCATTACCACTTTTTTCGCTGAAGAAGTAAACAATGCCAAGGGCTGACATGGTACAACATATGTTACCAAGATACAAACACAGCTGTACATTTTGTACAGGAAATCATGAAATCACAACTTGGTCAGGAGGGTAACAGGATAGGGAAAAAACAAACCACTGAACCCTCTAGTTCCGAAGTGAACTTATTGAGTATGAAATGCCTATCAAAATCCGTCAGCTCTAAACATGAAGCACCTCTCAAATAATTCCATAATTCTGTTTTAGCAACTACTAATAATGATGTTCAAAATCATTACATGTACAAGCAGTCACATTGTTGCAAGAAAAATCTAATACACTTAATACAGGTTATGGCCAACCTACTGCAGCCCTTTAGAGTTTTTAATGTTTTCTTATAAAGCGATAATTTAGAAATGCAGAATAAAACTCATCTCTTCAATCATCTTGATGTTAAGTTCACTCTAAGATGACAAAGACATCTCATGAGCTGATATGCTCCATTTTAATTTAGGTGTCTAGCATTTTGTGAATTAACAACAACCCTCTGAATGAAGTATTTTTCTTAATTGACCCAGGTAGAAATTCAGCTGCATAGGTTCAACTAAAGTAACCTTTTGGTGGTTACAGTTAGGTGCTATTAATTCTACACACAGCACAAATTTTTGTGCTGCTTAATGTAGAAGAATTCATTCTAGAATATGATGGTTCCTCACAGAGGATAAGGAAAAATCCCTAACTGTATAGGAAAAAAAATATTTTTCACTTCACATTGAAACCACTCTAAAGTCAAAACATGCAGATTGATGAACAAAAAAATATCCTCTTAATGAAACAGTTGCTAAATGAGATTTCTCTGGAATGGCCTTAAGACCTAAAATATTATTAGAAAGGGATATATTTATTGCTTCTAAAGCACACCTCAGTTTTCCTATCTTGATCCAATCTTCTTTGTGACAACAGATGATATCTGACTTTTTATTGAACTATTTCAGAAAAGCAGCCTCAGTACCAATATATATAAACAGACAAAAAGGCATCAGCTTTTCTATGGAATTCATAACGAAAAAGTGCTTCTTCACTTTTATTCTAAAATTCTCATGTATCTCCTTGCACTTTACTGTTTACATTATGCTGAAAACATCGATTGTGTATTGTTTTTCTGAAGACTTTAATGAAGACATTTCTGATATTTTTGCAGGTTTTCTGTAAATGCAGATGGATTTTTCTCATAAATCACAACATAGCCATTTTTTGTTTGATTTTTTATTTCCTCCAGAACTTTAATTCTTGTACCTGCATGATGAACAAGTATATTTCTACAACTTTGCTTAAAATTTTGAGACATGTTTTACCATACCTTTGAGTTAAGTCTTGATTCCATTTTTTACTTTTTAAAAACATTTTTATGAAGAAACCGCAGGGATCTTGTCATACTGGGAAATGTAACCACATCAACACTCATAAGAGTTAGCTCTTTGCACAGGTTAAGAATGAACCCACAATGGATCAGGTTACCCTTCTCCTGGAAGGATGTTGTCAATTGTACATCTTATCACAACTTCTATGTTCAGGATAACTGAGATGGACTGGACACTTAAAGAAAAGTATATTCATTAGAAGCTGGGAAGCTACAGCCTAAAAAGAGAAACAAAGAACTCTCTGTGGAAATGTTCAGCAGTTTATTTTTAAACACTAATTTTTGAACTTATTTGCTGTTTAAAGACCTAAAAGGAAACTGGTTTCCACCATGACCATGCAAACAATTTGCTATGGTCGAAACATTTCAGTACCAGAAAACAGTGCAATGATGGATCCAATTAAGACTTAAGCCTTTGAAAGAATATTTGACTGAATTTCAGCACAGTCTGTTCTATATCAACAGATATTACCCCTCCTCCTCACTTGTTTTCCAAATACCTCATAGACTTTTATTCACTGCTGACAGAGAAAAACAAGGTGAATTACTTTTGTCTATACCATACAGTCCGTTTTGGTAACACAGAAAAGGAGAAGTAATGCAGCTGGTTTTTAACATAGTCTAATACAAATCAAAATAAGAATAACTGTGTTTAAAAAAACCAAAAAATCCTTCAAAATTCTGAATTACATCAATAAAAAATAATGAATCCAGCCATATACCTGTCAAATGAGTGAAACTGCATGGGAAGAATAGCCTGAGCTTCTCTCTTCAGTGCAGGATCTGGGTAAGGGATCGGATCCGGACCACATTCTGCAATTTCAACAGGGGCTGCCACAAGACTTTTCAGTATTTCCTTGACATTGATGCCTTTACTTTGGCTGATACTGGATATTGATGATGCAGGTTTCAGGATTTCACTGGGGCTTTCCGTTAAGCTCTCCTGAGATTTCTTCACTTCCGAAGACAAAGTAGACAACAGCTCGCTCATAGCATCAGGGCCTGTGCTGGTCTCCAAGTCTGTCCCATTCAAAATATTGGGCATCTGTTCATCTCCAATTCCAGAATCTGTATGAGGAATAGAGCTTTCCAGCTGAATATCTTCAACTGGTGTCGGTGTTTCTTTATCTTTGATATTTTCTGGAAATACAGTTGGTGTCTCTGCAGTGAAATAGAGGTTATGAACAATATTTATAACTTAGTTTGATTTTTGTTCCTAAAAATATGATCATAAGGTTTTACAAGACAGAAATGTGTTAGAAAGCCCACAAATCTTAGTAGTTTAAACCTTAAAAACTCATTTTACATACAAAACATTTTGCTTTCAACAACTGTTTGGCATATATAAAGGCTTGGAAGAGGGAGCCCGAAGTTGCATTATGCAAGCTCAGTGACATTTAGAAATTACAGCCCACTACTCGCACCATAATCAAACAGCAAAATACTGCCAGCAAAAACAACATTAAAAATCATAACCTATCGACTGCATATCTGTATGATCTGTGAGACTACTGGAAAAGAAAAATGCAATCACTTATGCTTTAGGATTATTATAAAATTTAGTCTTTTTATTGCTGTCAGCAAATATTAAGCTTGCATTCAAAAGAAAACTGCTAGACCTTCTGTTTGCTTTGTCTTTTGTTTAAAAAGTGTATTATACACATTTTTACACACATGTCATTACATTGAATACAAATTTATTCATACATGAATGAAAAAAAGAAGCATTATTGTTGATTCTTTAGATAACTCCCCCTTCCCCACAACAGGTAAAATTCTGTAATTCTTTCAGGCAAATACTAAGAACAAAATAAACACAGCTTTATGGAGACGGGCAAATGAAATCTGTTGACTTTGGAACACGTCCAGATTGAAATGGACTCTACAACATCTTGTAACCGAGAAAAGCATACCTCTATTAATTACTTCAGTGAAAGAGACACAACAACTTCATTAAACAAGAATAATTTGCTATGCTTAGTGGAAAGTTAGCTAGAGGTGTGAATAACTTCCATATTAATCCTTTTGGTTACATTTTATTAGAGCAACAGACTGTGGCTATTTTTAATGACAAAAAGCTTGCACTCAAACTGATTTTTAAATTTATTTTCAAACTACCTGATTTTCATTGGATCACTTGTCTTGATTACAAAATTTAGCTGGCCTATGTATGAAATAGGAACACTTTTTTTTTTTAATAGTTCTGATATAGCAGCTTAGATATTATGGAAAATATTTTACAACATCCTTAGATGAAGCTCTGCCCTTCTGACTATTCCAAACAAAATGTACTTCAGCAATGTAACTTTAATAACAATCACATAATTTATTACCAATTGTCTGATACAGTCAGGTGTAAAATATCTACATATTTATCACATGGGCGTAAGTGTGCATGTATGCATGCGCACATAAAAAATTCTGTATGAGACTATTTATGTGTTTGAACTAATGGTAGTGTAAACCTCTTCATGTGTACAAGTATTAACAAACAGATATAAATAGAGCAGAAGAGGTTTTTAAAAATACAAAGCAGAATAACCCATTACAAGGAGTATTGTTTTCTTCTTTTAACAGCCATAAACTCTAAAGCCACTTCCTTCTTCTCTTTCTCCTAAGTGCATTAAACACATCATATCAAGTAGATATGAGCCCTGCTTTGTGAAGCAGGAAGTAGAAACTGGATTTATGAGCTGCATAAAATGCACTTAGCATCTGCCGGGTCAGGAAGTAAAAAAATCCGTATCTGCTTAGTACTGCCTATATTTGGCACAGAAGGACATCTGATCCACAGAATGATCCTAATTAATTTTCTGCTTGTTTGTCTCTTTAAACTTCATCCATACAAAGACAACACTTCTCAACTGAAGGGAAGAGTAGAACTGGACTGCCAGTCAAGCAGATTGTTGCCCTTGTAATGTATGGTAAGTAAAATAGCGTAAGGCTCCACTATTATGTAAATGAAAAGAGGACACCGAAAAAAGAAGACGGTCCACTACATGGTGAAGTTAGAGTACACCTAACCTCAATTTTCATTAAGGTCAACAATGCTGAACACAAAACTAAAGACAGGAAAGCTAATGGAAATGCGGTTGTGGAAATTCAAATACCCTAACTAAACCAGGAGAAAGATTTTAATGTATTAAAATCACGGGAATGAACTGACTCCAAACCAATTTTGAAAGAAACAGTCTATGAAATTACTGGTCTAGTAGCAAGTACTCTTGCCAAACAGGTAAGTGGAGATAGCAACGTATGACTGGAGAAAAACACACATGGTTTTTCTTTTTAAGAAAGGGGAAAAAATGATCTGGACAACTACAAGACTTCAACAGTAAGCAAGATTTCAGGATTTATTTTGGAGTAAAGAATAGTAATGGAATGGAATGAGGCAGATTACAAAATGGCTTTGCTCAAAGAAAATAAGGGCCAGTGTAATAAAATTCAGTAAAGCTGGGGTTGTCACAACAGAGTAATTTAGTCAGGAGAACCTGGAAATTAATAGAAGGTGGGAAAAGAAACTGACTAAGAAGGAGTCATCAAATAGTTGCAAAAGAAAAAAACATCAGACTGAAGAAAACTACCATGGGAGTTATCTCATTTAAAATTTTAATAAAGATTTCAGATGAAAAAGTAAAAACATTCTGGTGAAATTTGCTGATGACAAAGTTACAAGGTACAACTGATGTACAAAAGGATGATTATAAGAAGGCATTGTGACAGAACTGCAAATTACATTTAATAGTGAAAAGCTATGCATCCAGTGACTAACACAGAGATTCCCATTATAACTGGAATTCATCAACTGGAAATGACTGGAGAGAAGGACCTGGATACATCAGTCACTGGTAATTATTCACTGCCATGGAAAAGGCAAATGTGATTCCAAACTTTTCTGAAGAAATAGCTCCTGCAATAGTTAAGTATTAATGGCATTAGAGAAGGCTTTGGTAGGGTTCATTATGGAATACTGTGTACGCTGTTATATTTGAGGAAGATGGAAGTGCCACTATGGAGAGCCACAGTGATCAACTGTTGCAGAAAAAAAGAGTTTGCCTGATATAGTCTGGCCAAACTAATACTGAGAGGGTATACAACGCTGTTATACATTTTCAGGATGCAAACTCCAGAGAAAGGATTTAAGCTAAATGGAAGAGTTGGCATGAGAAAAACTGAGTACAAACTCACCAGGAATACATTTAGATTGAGAAGTGACAGCCATCACTATGGAATTAAGGTGCTGGAATAGCCTTCCAGTTAGAGTAGCAAGTTCAAAAATCAGAACTAATTTCAAGACTCTCTAAATAGGACTGTACTTAATTACTCTGCATGTGCCTTGTAATCCTTTGTTCCCAAATAAGAATAAAATGCCTAGAGGATTGTATCATTTGAAGTAAAAAATGGAAGGAAAATTAAATTTGTGGATATAGAATTTAGATATGACATACTATACAATACATAACACTAATTAAAATGATTTAGGAAAAAAATATCAAGAGAAGTTATTGTATATACAGATAAGTGTATGGATACTTCATTTCCACAGAAACTAGACTTGTATCTTTACTTTTCTTATTGTGTCTCTAGTATCTATATGAATACACTGCACTAAGTCAATTAAGCTTCGTCTGATTTATCACCATGAATAACAATCTCGAAAAACTACCTAAACCCAATGCTTTAACTCTCATTTTTAAAACATCAAACAAGCTAAACGAATAAGGGTTTAAAAGGTCCAATTTACTTTTTGTAAATCAAAGGAAAATAAATTCAGAGCAGATAAAACTGGTTAATAATTGCCTCTCAAATAAGAATACTAATAAATTAGTATTTGTGAAATTCAGATAAATATGTCTGAAAAGACATATTATAAGACCTTCTGGATCAGCATTACTACTACTATTTTAGGTAAATTATAAACTCCTGAGCATGGGTCACAAAAACCAACCAATTTTCGTTACAGTACTGCATATCCACAAGTTTTATTCTATGTTCATTTATATGGTGTCATAGCACTGCTGTAGCCTTCAGAATTCAGGAATAAAGAATCAGTACTGAATACTGATTCATAATGTTATCTACTAGAAATCTTAAACCGGTAATGCATATGCTTTTATAAAAATCCAAAATACTTAAAACAATTTAGCAAAATGATAAACATGAACAGAAGCAAAAATATAACTGATTGCATCTGTCTATGTTATAACATTGTGACAGTAAGCCTGTAAATTTTCAGCAAACCTCATCAGTTTTCTGCAGCACAAGGCCATGTCAGTAGACAAAGCAGAAACATTACTAGACGTAGCGATCTCAACCCTGTCAGAAACAGGCAGTTGGAAGCCAGATGCCTCCTTCTTACTGTTTTTCATTGTAACTAATGAGTTCATCTAGTACATTATGGGAAAAATATGGGCTTAAGTTAACTAAATGACATATTGTATATCTAGTGACCTCATCCGTCACACTCCTTCCCTAAAATATCTTGTTTGCTTGTGATTTATGAAGTGTATTGTAATTGTTTTAACCTACTGAGTTACTTAAACAGTTCTTGCACTACTTCCAAATGCCTAAAAATACAAAACCCCCCCATGTTTATTACCTAAATAATGAGACATTTAATGTCTGTGGTAAATATATACATTTTTGTCTTTATTAAAAAAAAGACAACACAAAATATTCTGCTTCTAATATTTATTTACTATTTAAAAAATGGAAAAATTGTGTGTATATTCCTATGGTCTTTTTTCTTTTTAATTTGAAACCCCCCTACTGGATAAAAATCAGCTGAAAATTTTCAAAAGTAAAAAAGTATGAAAATTATTATTTTTAACTGCTTACAATACAACTGAAAATTTATTTGAAAGTCACACTATCCCAAATCATTGTCAAATTTCTGCTGCAAACCATATAGCAACATTTGGTAATGGAAGGTTTGGGGCAATCTTGATATAAGAGTTGCTGCCACCTTTCAGTCTGCACTTGCACTGGAAAATTTATGAGTTGTTTTCTGTATAGCTATCTTAAGGCATTGATAATAACCTTATTAGCTGCCTTTTATAGATGCCTTTGTAGTATTCTACAAACTTTCAGGGACAGTACACTACAAGCTGAAAATGCTTTCAATCCAACCAGGCAGTGATATTATGGCTTGCTCCGTAGGT